ATTACAACCGTTGCGACCCAGTATTTATAAAGCACGTGTCTAACACCGCAATCACACGCTGAATGTGTGAGCTGAATGTGGCTTGAATGTGGAAGTCATCGGCCCGATGCCTGAATTTTACGCGTCACGCGCAAAATTCGTCAGCAACGATTCTCAGCAACCATCAGACCAATTTTGAATTTGTCTGAACTATTCGAATAGATTTGATACACATCTGGATGAAAATAACTCGAATTTGCTAAATTTCAGCCGTTGGGCGATGACTGTTGACTTCCACATTCAGCTGCTAAATTCAGCGTCTGATTGCGGCATAACTTGGTTTGGTCATTAACATATTTGCTGAAGGACGCTCATCTACGAATATTCTTGGCAATCTTAGTTTGACATTGGAATCTGAAGATTGGCAAATACATTTTCTGTGTTAGAAGGTTGGCTACCCTTTTGGGCCCTACGAGCTCTCTATTGTATTTCGACACATCCGTTCTGATCCTACATAGGTACTCTACTTATAGGGAGGCCAGTGACATCGTGTTCCGAGCGAAATTCCACACATGAAAAAGTACAAACATGGTAGATCCCTACCGCATACTAGAGCTCTATGCATTACCTTGGGGGTCAGTTCCAATTTACGGGACGCAAAATTTGCGGATTTTTGACGCCCTCATTCCCCCGTAACGCTTCGCAACGCTGTGATAGATCCCCCTAAAAATTAGGTAACGCATAAAAAATAATGTTAACAACACCTCAACGCCTTACCTTTACTTACTTCCGCATGCCGGGCGAAAGGGTGGGGGGGGGGGGATAAAAATCTTTATCTTTATCTTTATTTGAAGGACCTTTTTCATTTTTAAATTCATTTTTTTATTTTCGAGATTCTTAAAAACTTCTAAAGACGACCGAGAAAAATTCTTCAGAAACTCGAAAAAAGATCTTACACTCGTTACGTAAAGCTTCATTCTAGATCCCCCCCCCCTATGGATCGTTACGTGCATTGGACGGCCCCTTGACTGCGTGGCACGAGACTCAAGAAAGCCGCTAAATTGGCAACAGGAAACTGAATACTCGTAATTATTATCCGTCAATTATTCCCGAAGTCAAAGTCACTGAATTATGCAGCTCTCCGACTCAATGACGTTTCCAAATGAACTCGCGCTCACGTGAGCCTCTTTCCCCTCCCGCCCTCTCTTTCGCGTGTGAACCAGAACCACGCACTTGAAACCTCGAAAATTGCGAATTTTTCTCTAACTGGCCGTTCATGAACTACGTCAAACCCCCCCCCCCCCNATTCATGCTATCGGGCGCATCTGGTACTTGTCAGGTTACGGCAAACGCTCTTTAAAATTACGTCAGGTTTAAGGCAAGGCTTATCACTCACGAAAAATAGACGCTTCCCGCTTTTTTCCATAGATTTAGTTTTAAAAAAATCTACGATGTGTTCGATACTGATTACATGGTGTTTCGCACAAGTCTGAGATCATGAGTGCACACAAAAAAGGGCGCTTCGGGAGCCGTTCTGGTATTACGCTAGACATTCTGGCCGACTTTTTGAACCCCTCCCCCCCCCTTTCCCTCTCGAGAGGCACCTGTTAGACAACATCTCACCCTCTTGAATTACGCATTTACGCAAGACTGGCCTCATCCTCACTTTTCCGCGTTGGGTTTGGGCGTTTGTGCTATGTTTATCGTTTTCCAGATTGAAATTTGATAAATAAAAGGCAAGTTACTGTTGTGTTGTAATTTTGACCCTGTACGTTGGCTGATGGATCAGAAGATAGGATGATTCTCCATTATATCGACTTGGAACCGGGCAACAACAATTTCATAACCGCTTACAATGCTACCGATGATAATGAATCGATATATCGATGGCGAAAGTGCAAAACCTCATCTTACCATTGCGATATCCTATTTTAATGTTTCGAAGGGAAGCAAGGCAACATATAGCTTAAGGTTAATCTTCAGCTGTGGTTCCGAAAAAATCCACCACGTCGCGCTGCTAAAATCCGACTCCGAAATCAGTGATTATTTAAATATCACAATAGGTATCTTAAATTCTAAGACTCATAAGTTCTAGCAACATACGTCTGGAATCCTTAGAAACAAAGGCGAGCTTTGAAAGTCTAATAATAAAAGCTATAAATTGATCCCAGTTTCTCTTACGGGATATCTGTAAGTGCGAGAGAGACATCTCACGGTGGGAGAGAGATATCTGCAACTGCTGAGAGCGATCAATCGCGATTGGTTGCATCAAGGTCATCATGCTTAACCCTTTTTTTTTCTGGGATCAAATTGCAGAGCTTCAGAAATGACTTTTCACGTCGTTTTTAGGGTCAATAGGAAGAAGAATGTTATGGCTAGAACTTATGACTCTTCGATTTAAACACAAATTCCGTCAACTTTTATAAAAGCTCAAGGACTCATGTGAAGCTGCACGGACTCTAATAGCATGGACCAAAAAATCAAAACACAGCGGTGGCGCCCCCTGCGCGGAGAAATTTCTTACTTCACGCAGCTGTAGATAAACCTTAACATGTTTAGTGTTCTTGCTTAGTATTCTGCTAAGAGTAGAAAATTCAGACGAGATCTCAAGGAATAACCTCAACTACTTTTTTTTTTTTTTTTTTCCAATTTTCTTTTTACTACTTCAAATTACACACAAGTGGTAATCCTTACGCTTCCAGTAAGAGCCCCTCCCCCCTCCGTCCCTACCATGTACCAGCCCAAGGCAACCATTGTTTGAGACCATCAAACTCGGGTCGCCTAGCCGGGAATCGAACCCGAGACCTCCTGATTGTAGAGCCAGCGCTACAACCACTACACCACAGGAGGCCGACAAAGAAACAAATTATGATAGGAAGCCTGTAACGTTACAACCGGAGATACGTGGCTCAAGGATTTATCTCCTTTCTGCGACTTGACACTAATGGCGTCTATGGGACTCGAAAGGAATTGTTTCCGCTGTATAAGTTCATAGAACACTTCTTTGCGAAACATGAAAAAATTCCTGAGCCCACCCACAGGGTTAGATTGGCGTTTGAAATCTTTCACAGCCAAGGTCCTGCTCGCGAGAAAGATGATCAACGTGGGTTAAATCAGGCATCATAGGCGGATCCGGGGGAGGGGCGTGCCGCCCCTCTCCCTCCCTCGTACGCCCGGGAAAAGGAGCAAGAGGAAGGGAAGAAAGAAACGGAGGAAAGAGGAGGGAAGGACGCTTATAATTGGTAATCATTCATGACGAAATTGACTCAAACTAGCTATTCAATACTTTTAAAATTCAAAAATTTTCTGGGAGGATCCCCTCTGAACCCTTTACGCCCACCGCGCGAGGTGTCTGGATCCGCCTATGTCAGCCATTGAAAAGCCTTTCGTTACAGAATGGCGATATCTGTTGATTTATGTCAGATTTATTTTATGGTACAATTTGAAAGAGGTTGTGACGTAATTGTTGTTGCTTGAATCGAGTTCCATACATATAATGGAGAATATCTAAGGCGACGCCACTACTGATAGCTTCTATAAGATATATGATACAATCGACTGAGGGTCTTTAAGGACATGGCGCATAAGTGCAGTTTTTACTATTTTTATCGTGCTTAAATATTCAAAATTACATGGAGTCTAGTAGTGAAAAGGAAGTTTAAACTCGCTTTTTGATGTTGAAAAAATTGAATTTTACTTGTAAATTTTTCACAGAATATAGTTGAAATCATTAATTTTGGAATTTCTTTTCAACACTACACTTATGCGCCGTGTCCTCCAAGCCTCTCATAATTATGTAAGGTAAACCGCCGGAGCTTTTTTCACAAACATTGTTTTCCTCCTTTCTTACAAGGAACCTCTATTGATGTCATAAAAACGCCATCGTAAAATATAGCAACTTAAGCTTATTGTTGGTGCCTCATTTGACTTGAATAGACGTAGACTTAGATATAATTTATGAACGAGGGGGGAAGGGGTAAAAATAGGAGAGACATACAGAAACTAGGGGGCCCTGCCCCCTGACCGCTACGCGGCCCAACCCCCGGGAGGGCGCCTGCGCCTCGCGCCCTCAGGCTCGCTTCGCGGGCCCTATACGCATATGTATTGGCAAAAATGTTCTTCCATTTTAATACACCATTTTGTGTTCGAGCTGCATCGATTTCAAAATTTTTGACGTAACACTCAGATTTGTAAATGATGAGGAGTAGCTGGATAATTGGATATTTAGCTGGATTATAATTTCTCAGTCCACTTACTGGAGAAATTTCCATTTATTATGTTATTTTTAAATACTTAATTTAAAAAAAAATCGGATTTCGACCGTTAAGAGTTAATAATATTTGGTCCGTCCTGACGCGACGCAGCGCCTGCCTTCTCACTTTGTATCTGCTGTTTATCTGCTGTAAATATTAATAGAAATTCAGCAATCAAGTAATTTGATCAATGCCACAAATCGAAGCCGGAAGAATGCAGGAAAAGTTTAGTTAAACCTTATACCTTGGACCTTGAACCTTGAACCCTGAGCGATGCACCGTTCCTCAACTCTTCGAATGAGGACCCTTTCACGAGCTTTTACATTGTTTTATTGTTTATTCGAGTCACACAGGTAGAATCTCACACCTTGACGTTTCTAGTTGAAACGACATATCTCTCACGCTATTAACATTGGACTTAAGTGATATGAGCTTTAAAAGCTCTACAACATTAAAAGTTCGGGGTTTCATAATTTGTTGCACATCTACATCTACCACAGATGACATACATGTAAAGATCATCTTTATCGGTCCGGCAGTTCGTCAGAAATAGTGCTTCCAAGATTTTGCTTGTAGCTGTATAATATAGATACTATCTCACTTCTTAATTGAATTTGCAAAATTTCAACGTATTAGTCTTGTTCGCCATACAATTTTAGTTAAGAGACTTATACCGTACGGCTTCATTCCATACCAGCTTACAGTCCATCCGCGGCATATAGGTGCATTGCATACGGGGAGATAGGCAAACAAAGGAATAGAACTCACGAGGAAGTCATCGTATGAGGTGTTGCCGCCATTTTTCATGCACTTTTCTTTGATGCGTTTCTCGCCCTCTTCTATGTTGGGGAGCTCCGAGGCATTGAGGCTGCTCGGCAGGTTGTCCAAGTTTTCCAAATTGAAGTCCTTCGCGTTTTGCGCCAAGTCATTCAAATTTGGGAAAGACCCCGAGTCCTCACCGACTGTCATCACTGCAACACATATAACAACATTTTTTACAAAGAAAAACATTATTAAACCAAACGTGAACCTAACATACCTGACATTCCGAACTTGAACTGGCCTATGTACGTCTACAGCTATTTATACAGCTATATGTATACATCTATATAAACAGCTATGTCTATACCTATGTCTATATATACGAATACAGCGGGATGTCTGTAACAACGTCCGTGCGTAGCTATTGATTACAATTCAATCCCCCGCAGTTTATTGCCCCATGAAACAAACTGGTATTTCCTTGCCCCGCAAGATGTAGGGCAATGCAAAATAAATTAAAGCGCTCCATGCTTTGCGGGGCAATGCAAAAATTTGGTTTCATTGCCCCGCGATTCTAGTTTTGTTGCGTTGCTCCACGCACCCCAATAGGGTGTGTTTCACGGGGCAATAATCTGCGGGGCTTTGCCGTGTTACCTAGCTATTCCTACAGCTATGTCTGTTTACACCTATGCCAAGTGTTTTGACGTTGTTTGTTTTTATTATAACAATGTCGATGCTAACTTAGCTTAACCTGATCTGGCACAAGGGGGTGGGTGGCGGTGACCCCTCGTATTTCCGAAGGGTGGTGTCAGTCAAAAGTCACTCAACACCCCTTCCCCACCGAAAGTTTTACAGCCAGCCGTTTGTAACAGACCCGGCCGATTGTACTAAGGGGCCGTGCAATTATTACGTAATGCACTGGGAGAGGGGGGGGAGGAGCGAGCTTGTTTTACGGAACTTGGGGAGAAGGGGTCAAGCTGAGCCTTACGTAAGCTTTCCGCTGTAAAGAAAATGCTATTTGTTTCTTTAAAAAACGCCTTTTAACGCTTTAACTACCTCCCTTTCTTTTACTATTTCGGGAAAAAAGTCCCCACTTTTCTTGAAAAAACACCCCTAAAAATCCCCGACTGTCCCGAATTTTGGTTTTGCATGACTGGTAAACACACTGACAATTGAATTTCAATTATTTGCTTCTTTTTTTTTTGCCGATTTCCATCAAAATACACGGGGGAAAAAATATTAGCTGAAATGGAAAAAACTGATTTGCGATTTCTGCAATTCAATTTTTTTGCTAAGATGCCCATCCTCGTGACGAGGCCGACAAAACAATTGGCAAAAAGTTTCGGACGAAGGTCAAAAGGTTTAGTCCGAAGGGGGATGATTTTTCGTACTCGTCCGATCTTCAAAAAACATACCTCAAAAAACATGTTTCGTCGTGGCCTTCAAAACAAGGTATATTCACCCACCCTCTGAAACCGTCCTTTATCCAGAAAATCTCAGGTTTAAGGGAGACGATTTTCCGACCTGTCAAGCTTATCAGGCGCAACTGTTTTCATGGAAACGATTAGTCGAAATCTGCCTACCCAGCAAGGTGCTTCAAAAAACCGGAATTGTGTGTAATGTAAGTGCATTTTTAGACCAGTAATACCTAAAACATAAAATTATTCTAGTTGGTGACATCAATGTCGACCTTAAAATAGACTCAAATCAAGCAAATGAAATGACAAATATACTTAGTTCCATTAATCTAAGACTGTCTATTTTGGCGCGTATACGTAGTATACCGCCTTTGCGATCGTTTCGACCCCCACTCGATACAATAACCGAGTCCCTTAGTTCCTTACCGGAAAGTGACTGTCGCGAACTTCTGAGATTTTCCAAAGCCTGTAAAAAGTTTACTAATCCGTCAATAATTATGATTTAAAGTTTTTTCTCATTCCGGGGCTTTCTAGTTTATGTGCAATGAATACCAAGATTCTACGTTACTTGTTTTTTTTTTAAAAAAACCCAAGAATGCCAAGCGTTAATTTAAAATATGCATATATAAGCAGAAGCAAACGAACTGATTCGAGGATTGCTGAGCAGTTCAGCACTCTTGGAATGAGAATTTTACTCCTCCGGTTTGTTTAAAACATTGCATTGACCAGTCTCCAAACCCCTGTTATGCTTTTTAAAATTTGGTACCACTGCTCTGATAGCCAGGGCCAGCCAGGACAGCCGTAAGTGATTCTGTGATGAGCCTCAAACTCATTAGACCATGTGCTAACCATAACACATACAGAAATCAATTTGCTTTTACAGAAATCCACTTACCCTTCTCCTCCCCGCACACCGGACCTCTGTCCCGAGACCGAGGCAGTTTTTCTTGTTCCTCCCGAGCGACCCGACCCGGATCCTCACCTAATAATCGTTTCGACCCCCCACTCGATACAATAACCGAGTCCCTTAGTTCCTTACCGGAAAGTGACTACCGCGAACTTCTGAGATTTTCCAAAGCGTGTAAAAAGTTTACTTATCCGTCAATAATTATGATTTAAATTTCTTTCTCATTCCGGGGCTTTCTAGTTTATGTGCAATGAATACCAAGAGTCTACGTTACTTGATTTTTTTTAAAAAAGCCTAAGAATGCTCCGCGCTAATATAAAATATGCATATATAAGCGGAAGCAAACGAACTGATTCGAGGATGGCTGAGCAGTTCGGCACTCTTCGAATGAGAATATCACTCCTCCGTTTTGTTCAAATGTTGCTTTGACAGATCTCCACACCCCTGTTATATTTTTCAAAATTTGGTACCACTGCTCTGATAGGCAGGGCCAGCCAGGGCAGCCGTAAGTGCAATCTGTGATGAGCCTCGAGACTCATTAAGCCATTTGCTAAACGTGGCTCATACAGGAAGCTACTTGCGCATATATGGAAATCTACCTACCCCTCTCTTCCCCGCGCGCCTGACCCCAGCGTCGGCTTCGTGCAAGAGACAATAGCTCCGGGCGAGGCGGCCGGCGGGACCTTTATTACTTACGCTTGATTACCCATTTCACCGTCACGCTAGGATTCGTCCAATTTTCCAAAAAATTGTTTCGCGTGTTTTAGCAATTTTTCCCTTACTCTCCGTTAAAACACGAATTAGAAGAGGTCTCATTCATAAAAATCGGCCGAATAGAAGAGGAGTTACAGTATTCGAAATCCGAAGAAATCAACGAAACTTCTTCATACGAAAAATAAAATGAAGGAAAAAAGAAGTGTATAAATTACAATTAAATATAATTGACCTCAGAATTTGACAAGTAATTCAATTATATAGCGGAGAAAAAATTGGAAAGAAATTACAAAAAATTCGCCTCTTGCAAGGGGCTTCCTTGTAAGAATTTTGACCTGAAGACAAGGGTCGAATAGCAGCAGTACTCCATACAATACACAGTGTGCCTCAACGAGTTTAACATGTTTTATATGTCCAAATCGAAAATTCTTTACATTTTTAACTACAGTGTACCTTGAGTCATTTAAGCCAAAAAAAAAGAGAGAGAAAAAAAATCCGTCGAGATTCTGGAACGTAAAGGCGCTTTAAAAGTATGCTGGGGCTATAATAGCTTAATCACCGGTAGTAAATCCCGTAATATTTTTAAAAAGAAATTGACTCCATAGCTTAATGCCTTAGTTTCTTAAATACGATTATTTTAAGCCCTCAAACATTTATACCACCAGTTTTAGCCATGAGGTGATTTCCTGAGAGCCGATAATATCACGAATTTTTCAAAGAACCCTTCAAAAATGGCTTGCTTTTTGGGCAGCCGATTCGGTCGTCGAACCAGGATTTAAATGGAAGCTGATAATAACTCAAAGCTATGAGAAAAATTTTGAGATGAGTATAGGAACGGTTTGTAAATAACCAGGAGAGGCGGGCAAAGCGGCTAAAATCCGATCTAATTTTAGCCATTTTTATGTTGAATTGATGTTGCCGCGGACCAAGTGTGGCGACACATGGGTTCTGTTCAGCATACCGATACATAAGCATTTTCACACGTAGAGTCTAATTTCCGCGCCAGGGAGTAGGCATTACTTGAGTTTTTCGATTTTATACGGAATATTGATGGTTTTTCGAGATTGAAATTACTTTGTATTGTTTCATGAAAAATAAATGCACCCAAAATGACTATAGCATATTGACTTTTACATACAGGGTGTTAGAAAAGTCCCCTCCCCCATCTAACTTTTTACCTCATTGAGATAGAGATTTGAAACTTGGAGGATGTTCTTAGGTCAAAAGGAGCTACTTTTTGCCCCTTAAAATTTTCGAGGGCCCCCCTTTGAAAGGGTAACGGACCCCAACTTTTTTTTTTTTAGATGGGAAGACCCCTTTTGTGATACCTCGTTCGAAAACACATAAAAAAAAAAACAATTTTTTCGCGCTAACCCGAAGTCATTACCTTAAGCCGTTTCAAAATGGCGGCCGGTTAAAGTTCAAATGACCGAAAATTGGCATCTCGGCTATTTGCACATGGATTTGTTTGAAACGTGGTATCTAGGGGGTATTTTTGCACGAGGAAAACGGTTTTGACGTTAGATTTTTAAAAAAAAAATCCTAATTTCTCAAAATGGCTGCCGGTTAAGGTCGAAAATGGCCGAAAAGTGAGAAATTTGAGTTATAACGTCAAAATCGTTTTTCTCGTGCCAAAAATACCCCCAGATATCAATTTTCAGGCGAATCCATCGGCAAAAAATCAAGTTTGTCAATTTTCGGTTATTATGGACTTTAACCGGCCGCCATTTTGAAAAATTAGGGTTTTTTTAAAAATCTAACGTCAAATTCGTTTTTCTCGTGCGAAAATACCGCCAGATACCAAGTTTCAAACAAAACCATGTGCAAATAGCCGAGATGCCAATTTTCGGTCATTTGAACTTTACTGCGCGGTTTTAGCGGTTTTTGATAGACACAAAAATTTTGTTTCTATTTCACAACGATGGTGGAATCAACGAAATCTAAATAAAAAACCAGTCTATGTGAGAGTTCAGGTTCTCACCTTTCTAACGAGCACAAGATCATTCCGGGGAAACGTTTAGTTTCCGAGATATGACCGCTCAAAGTTGGTCACATGCGCTTTTGCGCAATGTGAATGCGTCTTATCACTGAATCATTCGCAAACTAGGGGCCCCTATGTTCAATTCACGTTGAAATAATTACACAGAGCAGTAAGGTGTCCAACACGAGCCGTTTTTTCACCTTCGGCTGCTGATGTGCGACGTTAGTTAAATGCTGCTGCTGCTTTTCTGCGAAAAGTTAAAAAAAAAACGAAATTTATGGTGATTAAATTTGACCATTTAAATTTCATTTTTTTTAAAACAACTTTGTTCGAAATTTGGGGACTTGAAAACGCAATGTTAAACTGATTTTGAACTTACTAAGATAATGTTAAGAAAAAGTAAGGGGAAATTGACTCATTTCGCGAGAATATCGTGTGACCTTTAAAATGACGCATTTGGAGGTCCGAAACCCCCCTTAAAATTAGTTTGAAGTAATTTCTGTAATTTTTACTTGAAAGTGCTTACAATTTGGTATATTTTCCCGTTTTATTCTTTTCTTTACGATAATTTGAACTGGAGATATGATTTTTTGAAAATAGGTCAAATTTGACTTTTGACCTATCATAACTCGGTCAGAAATTAAGATATTGATTTGCGGTTTGCACCAAAATTCTTGGTTTTTTATGCCCTTTCGAATGAGGTATCACAAGATACGGGTAACCATTTGAAAAAAAAAATTTGGGGGCCCTCGAGCCCCCCTGAGGGGGGGGGGACAAAAATTTTGACCCCCCGTGGGAGATGGTCCCCTTTAAGATAGAAACATTTCTAAAGTTTCGTTTTTCTATCTCTAACCGCCCAAAAGTTACGAGGGGGGGGGGGGGTACGGACTTTTGGGACACCCTGTATAAACGACCTCAGCGCCTCCCTAAGGTAAATAAAATCCAGAAACCTAATTGCCATTAGATAGCTCTATTTCAGAGGAACATTTTAAAACAAAGATCATTGAAATCGGTTGAAATGCAGCGGAGTAATGCATTTTTAAGAGTTTTCACTTCAAAAAATGGCAACGTCGCACATAAGCAGCCGAAGGTGAAAACACGGCTCGTGTTGTACAACTTACTGCTCTGTGTAATTATTTCAACGTAAACTGAACATAAGGGACCCCTAGTTCGCAAATGACTCGGTGATAAGACGCATTCACATTGCGCAAAAGCGCATGTGACCAACTTTGAGCGGTCATATCTCGAGAACTAAACGTTTCCCCCGGATGATCTTGTGCTCGTTAGAAAGGTGAGAATCTGAACTTTCGTTTAAACTGGTTTTAGTTTAGATTCCGTCGATTCCACGATCGTGGTAAAATAAAAACTAAATTTTTGTGTCTATCAAAAACTGCTAAAACCGCGTAAGTGCCACTTGAAGCCAAGTAAACCCCAGAAAACGATACATTACTAGAAAGCTCTATTTAAAAGGAACATTTAAAAAAAAAAGTTCATTGAAATCGGTTGAGATGCGGCGGAGATATGAATTTTTAAAGGTTTCCACTTTAAAAAATGGCAACGTCGCAACCCGGCGCTTCTACGCAAAACGGCGACCGGTTTTGGGCGTCTCGAAAGATACTGTATCACCCCAAGTGTTCAAAATTAGAGAATGCCTTGAGGCATTTTTGGCCGTTTTTCACACACATCTTTGTGCATATCAACTTTACAGGTCCAAAAAAGAAAATGAAAAATAATTTGGAATGATTGAATGGATTATTTCTATGAAGTAATTAAATTAATTAATGCCCATCGCAAAGTCAAATAATCACAAGACTTGAAACTTTCAGGATGACGGATCAAAACTTTTTCATAACATCGAAAGCACAAGCTCTAGGATCTGTGAAAAAGAAGTAGTTACGTAATGAAACCACCGGTACACACGAGTTTATCCCTACTCAAGTGCCTGTGGAGGGAAATTATAAATTTGATGATGGTCTTTGCCAGTGGTTAAATCTTACCAATTTTAGGAGACAATTTTGCCAGCTTGATCAGTACTGATGACCATCAGGTTTTTCAGGGGCCCAAAATTATTTTCCCTCTTTGACAACTTCCTATGAGAACCGGATCTCTTTAGGCACCCTGCGGTCGGGTTTTCTTTACCTGATAACACTTTTTCATAGCTTCCCTTTACCTAAATTGAATCCTGTTTAGAGGGTCAAAGAGATTATAGAGCCTAAGTATGATAAAACAGTTGATTCCGTTCAGGTTCCACTGTTTTCAAAACTAGCTGACCGCAAATATTTATGCGGCAACTTCGGCCACGATTTCGATTAATGAGGTGTCATGAGGAACATTCAGGCGGATTTTACCCATGGCGCCAATCTAACCTAACCTGTCGGATTCGAACACGAGTTTTTACGTCCAGAAGCTCGGATCAATGCCCACTGGACAAACTCAGTTTGCTATTACAGAGAATGTGAAGGNGGGGGGGGGGGGGGGGGCTGAGAAATACGTGAATCTTGGAAAATGGAATGAAAACGGGCAAGAAAAAATGTAATGAAAAATGAAGTGTCGGGTTTTTTTGAGCGGAGCTTGGTATGCGATGAGCACGTCAACAATGTCGTCGTGTCCCTTATCGCTCTGATAGCGGTCGTTGCGTCACAAGTGACTCCCCGCCGTGGTAGCCTCCTTCGCTCCGCTCCTATTCCTCACTTTCTCTTTCACTCCGAACAGCTTAATCTCCAACTCATCCTTTAACGTTTATTACCAGAAGCACACGCACTTGCGTCATGCCTACCTTTTTCTCATTCTCCGGGACAAATGCCTGTTCTTGGAAACCAGGGTATAGGTGCAACAGTGATTCTAATTCTTGTCGGAGAAAGATTTTCCCAAATTACTTCGATTAATCCATTTGTTCGATATTCGAAAATTCAGTAAACGAATATGATGAAATCGAATTCAAATTCGTAGATTATTTGACTGTTTAATCGATTAACGAGCATTATTTTCAACTGACCGTACATTTTCAAAAGAAAAACCTGTTCCCTGGGATGCCTGCGAGACGCCAGATTATTATGATGTAAATCAGCATGCGCGCTAGGTTGTGATTATATATTAAAAAATCAGGTTTGTCGAGCATTTTCCATAATAATTTAACGAACGGCACACTTGAAGACTTTTTCGGTGAAAAGGCCTGTGAGGAGGGTGGTCCAAACTGGGCAACTTTGAAGAGTGGACCGCGTTACTCCCTAGATTTGTTCCTTGCCATCCAAATATTTTATCTCTCCGACAATATTACGACGCGACGTGCCGCTGTGAGGCTGAAAATCTCGAAAAAAATTACATTGACTTAAATGGGGCGAAAATAAGCCGATCCGCGCTATTTCGTTTTTCGCTTTTAAAATGCACCTGAATGAAAACAACTTGACCTCAACCGAAAGGGGTACCTAGAGGCCTATTGTGAATGAGAGCATCACACATTTGACCTATGGGGAGGCGGGTAGGGGGTCACAACGAAGCCGATTCATTGGCGCCGCGCCGGTGCGCAACGAAGTCATGCGCTTAGTGTGATCCACTCTAGGCCACTTCGAAAAATGACCGCGATGCTCCCTAAATTTGTTCCATCCGATCCAAAAACGATGAATTCCACGTATTTTCACTCTCTGATAATATGAAGACCTGCGGCCGTGTGCCTTTTTTGGGGGAAGTAAAGAAAATAGCAAAAAATAGTACACAAGACGAATAATATAAAACTTCCCAACGTTGGCAAAACAGCAACGTTGTGCCTGACTTGTGTTTAACTGGGCCTCTAAAATACGACTTTCAAGTTTCAGCACTTGTAAAAAGTTTTCAGACACATATCGTTTATACAGATTTAATTTTTTTGAGAGAAACCAAAAAATGTCCGAAACAGCAAAAACTGCAATAAAGGTAAACAGCTAAAACATGTCCTAGCTCGAAAATTTCTGATGCCCGCTGATAAGTAGCAGTGTATTTAATTAAAATATCAAATGATAACTTCCTGAGTCACAAAGTGAGCACTATCACGTAGAGTCAATTGAACTTCCCGTAAATTAAAGAATAAAACGCGTAGAACTTGTTTTTGTATTTTGCTTTTTTTTTTATAAAGAAGTTTGCTTCCTCCAATTATAAGGAAGTAATTGCCGAGCAGATGTACGTTTCAATCTTTCTACAAAGATGCCTTTGAAAGCGCCATAGTTTCACAAGAAGAAAGCTCGAATATGCGGGTGCGTAGTGCGTGCCTCTCTCATCAGTTAGACGATATCATTGGTATTTTAATGTATCTTACTTTAGCACTTAACTTTTAAAGTTTTATATTGTTTAGATTTGTAATTTAAATTATGAAATAATGAAACGACATTTAATTAAATTATTTTGTTAAATAACTAGATATTTAAAACATGATTTTATTTGAACTCTCAAAATGTATTTATTTTACCTCTTAAATGGTAATAATATAAAAATTCTTATATGTTAATAAATTTCAAGACAACTGCCTTGTGCGAGATTTTTGGAGCCTTGCGCATTTTTGGATATTTTTTGGTTTCTCTTGAGAAAATTAAAGCTGTCTAAATTATATGTGTCTGAAAACTTTTTACAAGTGCTGAAACTTGAAATTTGTACTTCAGAAGCCCGGTCGAACAGGAGTGAGGCACAACGCTGCTTTTTTGCCAACGTCTTTTGCACTATTTTTTGCTATTTTCTTCAAATTTCCCAAAAAAAGTCAAACGGTCGCAGGTCTTCATATTATCAGGGAGAAAACATACGTGGCATGCATCGTTTTTGGATCGGATGGAACAAAGAGCTTGATGCAAAAACGGCTTTTTTCGCCCCCCCCCCCCTAGAATTGAATCAACCTTTGTCTATTGATTACTCATACTTGAGCGCTTCTTTTCTCAAATTTTCAGACCCTTAACAAATTTTGGGGGGCGCACATTGGTTCCCAGACCCGATCTAGGTGGCATTAATTCGAAAAAATGAATTTTGAAAAAATTAAAATTTCACACCACAGATCGATAGTGCATACTCTCGAGAGTAACTTGGCCAAATATCATGAAGATTGGATCACTAATAAGGAAATGATAAGCACCTAAAGGTGAGGCCGCGAGGTACTTTTGCGCGGACTCGCACCAGTTTTCAGTGTTTACTGTCAGGTCCTATGATTTGAAGTTCATCACACAGAAATAGATGCAAATGTGAAGTTTTCTGTTATGGTGTATCAAAAATATAAGGCATGTGAAAGGTTTATACGTTCTTACTATCTTTCAAAAACGTGTCTATACATCTAGACAAGCCGTTAGACAAAGCGTTATTTTCTACTAATTCCAAGCAAATTTTTACAAAAATGGCTCTAGATGAATGTCTTGCGCCGGTTCGCACGCATACAGACTTACTGTAGTAGTTAGTACTAACCCTAAACTTGATTTTAGTGCAATAAAATTCTGCGCATACTTGCGTCCCTGGGGGTTAGGGCACTTTGAATTTCCAAAACCGGCTTTCAAGAAATAAAGAATTGACACACTAAGGAGCTTACTGCAGACCTCAGATCCTTGGGAATATGAATACTGCATTTTTTACAGGTCATGTGGGTTCTCAAGTCTTCATAATCGTTAAGATGATTATTTTTTACTTTGTCTATACCTGTAGAGAAGCCCATAGACTTACCACATCTCCGGTTTTTTGACTGGAAATTTTACAATTATGACTCAAAATAAAGGCCCTGCGTAGGTTCGCACGCATACAGACCTACTGTAGTAGTTAGTACTTACCCTAAACTTGATTTTAGTGCAATAAAATTCTGCGCATACTTGCGTCCCTGGGGGTTAGGGCACTTTGAATTTCCAAAACCGGCTTTCAAGAAATAAAGAATTGACACACTAAGGAGCTTACTGCAGACCTCAGATCCTTGGGAATATGAATACTGCATTTTTTACAGGTCATGTGGGTTCTCAAGTCTTCATAATCGTTAAGATGATTATTTTTTACTTTGTCTATACCTGTAGAGAAGCCCATAGACTTACCACATCTCCGGTTTTTTGACTGGAAATTTTACATTTATGACTCAAAATAAAGGCCCTGCGTAGGTTCGCACGCATACAGACCTACTGTAGTAGTTAGTACTAACCCTAAACTTGATTTTAGTGCAGTAAAATTCTGCGCATACTTGCGTCCCTGGAGGTTAGCGCACTTTGAATTTCCAAAACCGGCCTTCGAGAAATGAAGAAAATTGACACACTGAGGAGCTTACTGCACTACTGCAGACTCCAGATCTTTGAGGACTGCATTTTTTGCACATCACGTGAGTTCTCAATTCCTCACAATCATTGGGATGATTATTTTTCACCTTGTCTATACCTGTAGAGAAGCCCATAGACTAAAGACAGTTCCCGTTTTTTATGACTAGAAATTTTACAATTATGGCTCAAAATACAGAACAAGTGGGTTCTTAAATCCTCTCAATCGTTTAGATAATTGTTTTTCACATTGTCTATACCTTTAGAGAGGCCCATAGACATAGCACTGTTCCACAGGAAAGGAGCTTACTGCACTCCTCGCGCATTATTCCGTGATTGTATGAGTAAATGTCCTCTAACTTAACAACGAGTGCTTATTTCTTTCTTGGTTTATGATTTCTTCGTGTTTTTATTCTCTCAGGTTTGTAAGGCTCTGAAATCATCGCAAGCTCACAACTTTGTTTGGAAAAGAAAAAAAAGCAAGTGTGACACCTCGCTCTTTTTGATGCGCAGTAAAATATTATACCGATGAATATTTTCCTGCTCTTACAGACAGTAATCATTTTTCTTTCAAAATACTTTGTTATTAATTTTGGTTTCTGCTTTCCTTCATTGAGTGAATATGCTTCTCGTTCAAGTAAAATATTTATGTTACGTATGTTTAAATTGCCGCGTATAATGAATTTAAATGTATTTTTTGAATTATAGACGAAGATCGAATCTTAATTCATAGTCATTCTGATAACATAATAATTCTGATAGCATAATTGTACCATTAAATTACAAAGCTTCAAAATTCCTGTTGGTTTTAAAGCGCGGCGAAGCAGGAAATCAGCGAGCATTGAGGTTCAAATAAAGTCCTTCTTACGCTGATTTGTCAACACTGTATGAACAAGTCGAATAGTGGGATAAGCAGTTTTCTTTGGTACTGGAATTTATTTTCCTCAGGGAAACCACAACATTTAGGAGGTATATTTTACCAGATAATACTAATTCCTGGTTCACAAAATTATACAACATTGCCCCCCCCCCATAAAAAAATAGTAATTAGAGGACAAATCCTCGTAAATTCATCGATAGTTTTTGATGATAAATCAAAAAAGGTTGAAAAATATATCAGTCCAGGAATTCAGCCATGTTAAAATATCATTAAATTAGTATTAAGTATGAATTTTCAACCTAAATGCAAATTTACCACCTTATGCTAGATGATACAGTCAAATTGACTTCAAATTCGTAATTAGTGACCCAAAGAACCCCTAGAAACATGTATAACATGTCATCATCAGTGATATTCTAATTAATGCCACCTAGATCGGGCCCTGGAACCAATGTGGGGCGCTATGAGGGATGGAAGTCAAAACCTATGTACCTCGATACCTATCGAACGAAGAAAGATATCGAGGTCTGGTTTGAACGAAAAATCATCTGAAGTTGTATACTTTAAGATTGTTAAGGTCAAAATCCCGAAATCAAATTTTCAAGGTAACATAAGTGCCTATTTTCAGTTTTTGAGTCGAGACAATTTCTTTTAAACAAAGAATTTACAAAGTACCTACTCAATTTTTTATTTGAACCAAAACCAGTTTCTTAAATTGTTTGTCTTTTTCCGCATCCAACGAGTGGTCCATTAAGCTGGGGAACCGAGGGGCTTGAGAGTTAAGGACGATTAAAGTTTACGCTTAACGCACGCCGACCGATTTTCGCGCGCTAAAATATGGTTTCAAAGCCGGATTTGGGTGTAACTAAATCAAATTAAATGTTCAAACCGTGGAAAATACACTTTTAGGGACTCTTGGGGGTGGCTGAGTTGAAAAATTACAGATACTTCCAAAAATTCGCTTTTCTCCGTGGCGCTACTTGAGAGGCCCACTGAGCGACCGGCGGCACAAACTAACTTACCTAAGTAGTCGTCTAATTTTGCATTATGTAGACGGAGTAATTTTGGACATGATACATTTGAAATCCTAAGTTTCACCTGACTCAAAGTGTTTGCTGCTAATACCCAGGAGTGCTCCGACTCATTGGTCGGAGAATTGACCATTTGCTATTGGCCCCTCTTCAATTATGAGATTAGTCCAAAGATCTCTTAGGAACTTAAATTAATGACCCAGGTGGTGTGCTTGATGTCCACTTTTACAGAATTAAAGGCCTTTTTTCTAAAGGGGTACGTGCAAAACGGGCCATTTCACGCTCGTGTCGGATACCATTGAAACTTGCCCGATTCATTCATCTAACAATGCCCCATGTTTTCACAAAGTTTCAAGTCCCCAAAAAATTTTGGGGGGAAGTGGCGGGGGGTCAAAGTTGAAAATCCGCTAAATTTTCGCGAATTTTTTACTCGGAAACTACTAAATATTTCGAAACGCGGTTCTAACGAGCATTTTCAGTGTGAAAAGAGCTTTCAGAAAATGTATAATATCATAGGGTTTTGTCGACTTAAACTCGAGTTATCGCCTCCGAAGCGCCGGAACGCTAAAAAATGACCCGCTTTTTTGTCACGTTCGGGCCGATCCCTAAAATATTCCATTTTCAATTTCTTTGAAAAACTGATATGTTATTCCTGACTCTCTATGGCACCTTTATGTCTTTACCGTATCCTGGGGAAATGTTTTGTTCGCGAGTTATAAGCGCGGAAAGAAGCGGAAGTCGGGAAAATCGGCTTTTTTGAACTGCGCGCGGCGACGGATCAGGAGACATGTGGCAACAATGCGAGGTGGGCAGAGGACTGTGATTCGCCGAACTGAGCAGGAGGGGGCGTTCTCCTTCTAACCCATGCGACGCGCGCAGTTCAAAATAGCCGATTTTCCCGACTTCCGCTTCTTTCCGCGCTTATAACTCGCGAACAAAACATTTCCCCAGGATACGGTAAAGACATAAAGGTGCCATAGAGAGTCAGGAACAACATATCAGTTTTTTTAAAGAAATTGAAAATGGAATATTTTGGGGATCGGCCCGAACGTGACAAAAAAGCGGGTCATTTTATAGCGTTCCGGCGCTTCGGAGGCGATAACTCGAGTTTAAGTCGACAAAACCCTGTGATATTATACATTTTCTGAAAGCTCTTTTCACACTGAAAATGCTCGCTAGAACCGCGTTTCGAAATATTTAGTAGTTTCCGAGTAAAAAATTCGCGAAAATTTAGCGGATTTTCAACTTTGACCCCCCGCCACTTCCCCCCAAAATTTTTTGGGGACTTGAAACTTTGTGAAAACATGGGGCATTGTTAGATGAATGAATCGGGCAAGTTTCAATGGTATCCGACACGAGCGTGAAATGGCCCGTTTTGCACGTACCCCTTTACAGTCCTTCAAAACGAGCTTTCCGTATGATTTTGCTAAGAAGCAAGTCTAGCCTCTAGCCCCCCCCCCCCCCCNAATTTTAACGTACCTCAAAGTCGTTTGACGAGCATAGAGAGAGCATATCTGGACCGCGTTTAACAGAAAGGAACCAAGCCACATCAGCTATTGCCTAATTTAATTAGGCAATTTAATTTTTTACGAGAGAATGTTTGTGTGGATTCCTTTGAAAATGTTAAGGGATTTGCTTTGTACTGTAGAGAAAATCCACTGTTTGAACGAAAATCCGTACATCCGTTTTCAAGTAAAAAATTAAATTGCTCGATATTGCTCGATTGGGGGTATTTTGGCACGAGAATAACGAATTTGACGTTAGATTTTCAAAAAAACCCTAATTTTTCAAAATGGCCGCCGGTTTAGGCTCAAAGTGGCCGAAAATTTGACAAACTCGATTTTTTTGCCGATGGATTCACCTGAAATTCGGTATCTGGGGGTATTTTGACCCGAGAATAACGAATTTGACGTTCGATTTTTAAACAAACCCTAATTTCTCAAAATGGCCGCCGATTAAAGTTCAAAATGGTCAACACTTGGCAACCTCGACTTTTTGCCGATAGATTCGCCTGAAACTCGGTGTTTGAGGGTATCTGGGTGGGAGACAAACAAATTCGACGTTATTTCACCGAGTTTCAGGCGAATTTATCGGCAAAAAGTCGAGGTTGCCAAACGGAATTATGAGTTTTCCTTCCCGATGAAACGCTTTCAAATCGTATTCCGAGTTAATTTTTACTGAGAATAGGCAAGGAAGTTACAATCATACTTATGTTTAATATTTCTGGCTGAAATTTTCGTTTAAAGAAATGTACCCGATGGGCTCGTTCCTTAACGCACATGTGCAAGGGCAACTTTCTAACGAAACTGGACCTATCATTTTGGACTTAGTATATTTTGGATTTTTGAGAGCTGTAATGCGGTAGTTTTTCCTTAGAAATTTGGAAATAACGTCCAATCATTCTTTTCTTTGATGCTTCCAGGAGAAATTTTTCCTTTTGGAAATTGGGGAGGCAAGTGTGAAAATTGGAAAAACGGAAGGGGGTCGGGGATTTTTATAAAACGAAGGGAGGGCTCCCCTCAGGCGCTCAGGCGAGGGGGTTCGGGGGATCCCCCGAAAAATTACATTGACAATTAGGTACCCATGGAAAAAATAAGAAATATTAAAAAAAAAAAACCTCACGAATTCCATTAAACACGGTTTTTAAATTATTCACTGATAAAAATAGCAATATAAAATATACCACAGAAATTTCACTTTAAATTCGGGCAATCAACGCCAGAAATACTGACAACGAAAAGTGACTACGATACCCTGCAGCATCAGAGTGCATCGCGTATAAGCATGGTATAGGTCTGTAACATAGAGTACACTATGGTCTGTAACCTCCTCACCGCAGTTTGGTTTGTTTACAATCATGCCGTCAAGAGGGTACGAGATGCGACCACCATTCTTTATCCGCCTTGAAGTTGACAGTTGTTTACTTTCGGTTTGCAGGCGTTTTCGCGTCACTACTATCCACATGAAAACATCAGACTCTTTCAGAAGCAAGAACACTAGCTTAGATAAGTTTTCTAATACTTTCAAACCCTGTAACTGTTGGATCCCAGAACACTGCTTTCTGAGAAGCAAATAATGGGTTATCAGTCGAGACAATATCAAGATCAAATGGTACTTGATGGGTCGAAAAATTAAGGACTCTTTGGGATGCATAAAGTATATAATGCGAAGAAGCAAAGAATGTATGTGACATACCAACAAATGCAACAAGAGCAGTAAGGCAAGTGGCACAGAATCTTCTCATTCCTGGATTCGAGATCATCTTAGATGAAACAATATGTAGCACTAAGAGCACAAAAACCACAAAAACACCCGTGTCTCCCGATGCACGATTTAGCCGCACAGACTTTTTGACGTGAACATATAAGTACGTAAGTACTTAAGGGAAAACGAATGTAGAAAATGCCTATACACACTTAAGTAAGTTGAATGGGACCGAATTTAATTGACCTCACAAGTTGATCAGTGATCACAGTCGTACGAGCAAGCGATACGCAAGCAAAACTTATTCTTACGACAGCTGATTCAGCCAGACCATGGACCAATAGAATAAATAAGGACTCCCAACTCCCTATGGTACCCTGTGTTAAAAACCGTTAACGCGCGCTCGCAGCGAACCTGGCAGAGGGTGCGGTGAAGTAACGCCGCAGCGGTCCACGATCGTACCTCTATAGTATGTTATTCCATGCAATGTTCTTTGTTTATTTATGATTTAGTGTAGATACTTTAATACATTTTACTTTCGCAAACTAATGAAATTGTATAGATACATACCTTCGGCAGAATTCAATGCGAAAGACTTTGATTTGAAGTATCTTATCAAAACACGAGCAAAGATGATTCAGTCAACTTCTGACGCAGAATCAAAGAGACTTGCTAATAATCAAATTAAAGGTAATGCTTGAAGTCAGGTATCTTTGATTTTGTGACACTCAGTTGATTTTTATCAGTACAACACTATTTCTCACTAAAAAGATTTCACTTAACAGAGAGGCGCCTTCGGCTAAAAGTACAATCCTGATTCCTGCTGCACACTACATACACACTTCCTTTGGCTTTCTCAACAGCAGTTGCTGCTGAGTAAAACGGTTAGAAATAACACTTCACATTAATACCAGTTTATGTACACGAAGACTGACGAAGATTGAAATGAAAATGGGAAACTTTTCACACTAAACTCTTCAAAACTGCAGGGCGACCACGAGGATACGAGGATCTAGAAACTTCTATGAGCACTACTGAGTGATAAGCCTAAATAGGTGGTGCATGGAAATATAAACAGGAAGACCCAATCATCGGTTTAGTTCACTACACCCTCTGCCAGGGAGCGCTGATGTCAACGCTAACCGGAGTTGGGGGTCCTTATTTATTCTATTGGTCCATGGCCAGACTGCCAGATCATGACAGGGAGTAGGGAGTATAGAAGGTTAGAGGCCCGAATCAATGCTAGGTAATAGAAACAGAAGCGCTCGCAGCGCGCTCGCTGGCAACGTACGCAACTACTATTTTCTATTGTTTTCCAGTGACTAGCGGCGGGTATGTTGCCGCCGGACCACCTCCACGTAGGCAATTTTTTATACACCGTCCGTCCGCAACTCTCGCTTAGCCAATCAGCGCAGTGGTATGGGATTCCGCTCGCCGCGTACTCTCGCGCCAACGTACGCAACTGCTTGCTCACGGCTCCAACTTCTGTTTCAATTCTTCTCTATCCAGTCGGGCCTCTAACCTTCTATACTCTCTGGATCATGAAAGAATTCATTTCAGATTCATCAGATTGTTACTAGAGGCTAGAGTACCTTTATAGCGAGAGTATGGACAGATCGCTTGATGGAGAGCTTAGGGCCCAAAAGTGCAGCCACCCTTCTGAGCAACTTCTAACACACGAAATTTCACTACCAGCCTACAGATTTCAATTCTAACCAAGATGGCCAAGAATGTACATAAATGAGCGTTCTTTCGCAAAAATAAGTAAAATTATGCAAAAAGTAAGCCAATCACATGCTTTATGAACGACGGTTCGTAACAATTGTCTTTGTAAATCACTCTGGACATTTGAAACTCATAGGTTGGCTGCATTTCTGGGCCCTAACTTTATTCGCGGAGGCATCGGTGAAGGCCTGATGAATTTTCGGAGTTTCACATCTGTCTATACTCTCGCTATACAGGTACTCTACTAGAGGCCCTGCCCTGTATGAGGTAGAGTCCCTTTATACTGAGAGTCAAGACAATTTGAATCCATTTCTGATTGGTTCCCGTATTTTAGGCCTCCACAGTGTCACAAACGGGAATAAAGATTACATTTTCACCAATTGCAAAGATTATAATCTGGAATGGACCAGGGAATTACGGGTTCGGCAAGGAACAAACGGAATGAGAGGAGGAACGGAGAAAGGTATTTGAGAATGGGCCGATCAAAGATTACGAAAAACGTTCAATTTCTGTAATCTTTATTCCCGTTTGTGACATCCATGAGCCGAATTGTCTTGACTCTCAGTATAAAGGGACTCTAGTATGAGGAAAACATAGTGAACAAGAAGTTGCATACGTTGGCGCGAGAGTGCGCGGCGAGCGGGATCAGAGAGTATGGAAGGTTAGAGGCCCGACTCAATGTTAAGTAATTGAAACAGAACCGCTCGCAGCGCTCTCGCTGGCAACGTACACAACTACTATTTTCTGTTGTTTTCCAACGATGTAGAGACTGAAACTAGAGTACCTATATTGAGAGAGTATGGCCACGGGGGTTACCAGCTCTGATTGGCTCAGCCATCTTAGGCTGAATGGAGCCCTTAGGACCCAAAAATGGCAGACACCATAAATTAATGTAATGCAAAATGACTGAAAATGTAGTTTTCTTTGCTTATCGTGACGAGAAATTTACCCAAATGCACTATTGCGACATCTTTACATATTTTTAAGGCTAATCGTGTGCAATTTTTGAGAAAAATTATCGTAGATGTAGTAAGGTTGGCAGCAAGTGCGGTTGGTGATAACCGTCAAAAGTTGGCAATGACCCCCCTCCCATCCACAAAAACCAAAACAAAGCACCGCCATTTTTGGGTCGTATGGAACGCCGTTAGTGTCAAAACCCTTTTCTTGCGCGCGCGGAATTTTTTTTCGGCGCGCGGAAAGAAAAAACCCGTTCTCGATGAAAATCTCTGAATTTCCGGATTCCGCGCCGGTTTTCGATATATTTGCGCCGTTTGTGTCAAAACTATTTTTGTCGGCGCGCCGCTTCAAATCTGTTCCGCGCGCGGAATTTTCGATATATCGATTCCTGCTCGCCGATCGTGTCAAAACTGTTTTTTCCGGCGCTGCACCAGGAATTAATTCGAAAAAGTGGCGCGCAGAATTATTTTCTGGTGCATAGCGCCAAATCAGAGGTGGTAACCCCAGTGGCCATACTCTCTCAATATAGGTAGGTACTCTCTCAAGCCACATTCAGCTCCAACATTCAGCGTGTGATTGCGGTGTTAGGGGACTCTCGTGTCAGCCTATTTTCAAGCGACCAATGAAAAACCGGAACAGAAATGGCCATACTCTGTCTATAAAGGTACTCTATTGTCACTGGCTCTATACAGGGTGATCCAAAAGTCCCTTCCACCCCCTCTAACTTTTTACCTAATTGAGGTAAAGATTTGCAACTTATGGGATATTCCTAGGTCAAAGGGAGCTACTTTTTGGCCCCCCTAAAATTTTCAGGGGGCCCTCCTTGGGGGGGGGGGGAACGGCCCCGAACTTTTAATTTTCAAATGGGAAGACCCCCTTTGTGATAACTCGTTCGAAAGAGCATAAACAAAGAAAACTTTTCGAGCAAACCCGACGTCAATATCTCAAACCGTTTCAAAATGGCGGCCGGTTAAAGTTCAAAATGGCCGAAAATTCACACCGGTTATTTGTCGATGGATTTTCGCAGAAATCGGTATGCAATGGTATTTTGACACGAGAAAAACGAATTTGACGTAAGATTTTCAAAAAACCAAAAGTTCCAAAATGGCCACCGGTTAAAGTTTAAAATGGCTGAAAATTGTCACCTCGGTTTTTTCCTGATGGATTTGCCTAAAACTTGGAACTCGAGAGTATTTTGGCATAAGGTAAACAAATTTGAACTTAGAGTTCTAAAAAAAATCAATTTTTGGTCATTTTGAACTTTAACCGGCGGCCATTTTCGAAATTTCGGTTTTTTGAAAATCTTACGTCAAATTCGTTTTTCTCGTGTCAAAATACCCTTGCATACCGATTTCTGCGCAAATCCCTCGACAAATAACCGGTGTGAATTTTCGGCCATTTTGAACTTTAACCGGCCGCCATTTTGAAACGGTTTGAGATATTGACGTCGGGTTTGCTCGAAAAGTTTTCTTTGTTTATGCTCTTTCGAACGAGCTATCACAAAGGGGGTCTTCCCATTTGAAAATTAAAAGTTGGGGGCCGTTGCCCCCCCCCCCCAAGGAGGGCCCCCTGAAAATTTTAGGGGGGCCAAAAAGTAGCTCCCTTTGACCTAGGAATATCCCATAAGTTGCAAATCTTTACCTCAATTAGGAAAAAAGTTAGAGGTGGTGGAAGGGACTTTTGGATCACCCTGTATAAACCATAAACTAGAGTACCTGTAAAGCGAGAGTATGGACAGATCGCTTCATGGAGGGCTTAGGGCCCAAAAGTGCAGCCACCCTTCTAACCACTTCTAACGCACAAAATTTCACTGCCAGTCTGCAGATTCCAATTCTAACCATGATGGCACAGAATGTACAGAAATGAGCGTTCTTCCGCGAAATTGAGTAAATTTATGCAAAAACTGAGTCAAACACGTGCTTAATAAACGACGGTTCGGAACAATAGTATTAGTAAATCGTTCTGGATAATTGAAATTCATAGGTTGGCTGCATTTCTGGGCCCTAACTTTATTCGCAGAAGCATCGGTGAAGGCCTGATGGATTTTCGGAGTTTCACATCTGTCCATACTCTCGCTATACAGGTACTCTACCATAAACCAACTGATATTAGCAGTAAGTTGCAAGGGTTCTACGCGAGATCGCAGCAGTAGTAACTGCACACGGATTTTTGCATTGGCACTTTCGGGAGTCCAGGGTCCTACAGAACTGCTGAGAGGAATATCTCTGATAAACGCGATCGTCTCAATATCGTCAATTCAATTCTCTGTCACTGTCAGAGTTTTAGTCTGGTTAGTTGCCCAGATGCACTGCGTTCTGTCTTGCTGTCAGTATTGAGCATTTCAAGTTGTGGCGAAAAACAAATTTCTCAGTGATTAGTGAAGTTTTACATATAATGAATCTTCTGGGATATAGATGAGTAATCTCCAAACATCTTTATTTGTGCGCAATCACGAGAGGTCCCTCGCACGACCGAAATTCGTCGTCGTATCATGGCCTCTTCCACTCGAGGCATTCAGATAGGTTCTGCTTGGTTTCAGAAGAAAATGAATTTAAGACCTCAACACCGAGGCGTCCACCTAGTCACGGAAGAAATTTTAAAGCAAATGCCCGAGCTACGACAGTTTTCCGTCGGATTATGCCACATTCAAAGTAAGTTTTAGTATTTATAGTGTTGATAGTCTTGATTACTGCACTGTAGTTTTCCCCCTTTTAAAGGAGAATCAGTACTATTATTATTCACTATGTCAAGCTTTTCAAGTACCTCGCCCTAGTTCTTCTTAGATAACCTCATTCTTGTAATTTTCTTTTTCTTCAATTGCTTGCCACCCTCATTGATAAAGAGAGGTTTCAATTCAGGTACCTTTTTTCCATCATTCCCTGTCACTTAAGCACTGCAACCTAGTCCATAATCGCAATCATGAATTCTGGAAGTAAATGAGTGCAGACGAAATGGAATGAAAGCCAGTTGATTTTACTATCACACAAATTTGCACAATTTTCTCCTGTAGACAACAGGAGCTTAGCTGCAAACATGATGAGGTTTGACTTTGCCCACTCATTTCCTTATCTTCTAATGGGATAGCAAGTATCTGAAGGGAACCAAATTAAATTTAAGAAGATTTTATGAAAGATTTGAGGTTGTCTAGGGAGGTGCGTCTTTAGTCATTATTCTTATGTCTGCTGACAGTATTCAATGTGCCACAATCTGACTCCAAGTTTATTTTTTACATTGTGCCTTTTAGAGGGCTATCATTTCAAACCAGATTTCCTCTGTTCCAAGTTGATGTCACTTGATTTTTTTTGCAAAACACTGCTAAGTTAATGGGGAATATGCTAGCAAAGTGAAGGAGGCAAAAATGGTGGACCAATTTTCTAAAAGGATTGAGCGTTTTTGCAGGCAAAGACCCCATACGAATGAGCAGGCGATCACAGAGCGGGAGTAGCTGGTGGAGCGTGCATGAAGCTCGCTCGGACTCCATGATTATACTCTGTTGCTCTCTCCTCTCCTCTACTCTTTGCACATCACATAATGGCGCCAAGCACAAATTTCACTCTCGGAGAAAAATTAAACTGCTCAGCTCAGGGAATTGACCTTTTTGATCGGGATTAAATTTCTAAAAGAGTTCAAACCAAGTACTAACCAGGGCAATTCTCTAAATTCTTTGGCAAGACATTTTTCTGATATAATTTTAGGATTACCTAAGGAGGGAAAATCTTTAGCATATCTGGAGAAATCACAAGCTTGTGTGGGGGCCCCGCAGCGTTCTGAGGCATTGAAATCAAATTCTAAACGTACCTACTTACATTTTGAATTTTGATGGAAAATAAGGGGGGGAGGGGCTTCATTTATATCTGAGCCATGGGGATGCCAGATGATGAGGGATGAGTTTGAGGATTTTTGCGCTCAGCAGAGATGTTTTCAGGAGCATTGGGGGAACTAGTTAGGAGGAGGGGGGAGAAATATTACCCTCTCCTGACTTCAAGAAATATGAGGGCTTTTGCTAAGTTAGCTGTGTTGCTAGACTTTCATTGCGGAATTTGTAATTCTACCAAAAATATTTCCATGTGAAGATGAACCATCAAGCTAAAAATTTAACTCAGCATTCGCACAAATTTATAAATTTTTTTTGTGGCACAATGGTACAACTTCTGGGAAACATCCTGTTAAAGGTAACAAGGCACTTAGCATATTTCTTGAAAAATTTGCTAAAAAAATATCTTTGCACATTTCTGCTTTTGATAACTTAAGTATACCTACAAAAGTACATAACGATCCAAAAAGTGGTGAATTTTACCAGTCAGGCATCAAGGGGTGAAATATGGGAGCATAAATATAGCATTAGGTACCTGAGATGACATTGAATCAGTGAGTTCGAAAATACACCAACTCGGAAAAAAAAATTTTCAGGAAACACCTAAAACTTCGCAGCGGGCGAAGAAGTTAGTTTAAGAAAAACTTTTTTGGTGCCAAAGGACGCAAGAAGTACTCTAGAGACTTTAACGCACCAAGTTTCAGATACTGATTTTTCATGGTCTGCCCTGAAAAATTTATATTTTTTGACCTGAATAACGCTTGAATATTTATATAACTTGTTGGCACAAGGTATACTGAACCGAAAAAAGAAAACCGCATCGGATAGTCGCCCGTTTCCCTTGATCGGCCAAAAATTGGTATCTCCAATGAAATTCTTCGATTCTTCCCTTTTCCCGTCGCCGTTTCGAGCACTTCCGATTGCAATTTCGAAATATCCTTTTGCGTGCAGATGCTTCTACTTATCCATAAGTGTTACTAAACCGTAAAAAAGTGAAAATCGAAAAAAACCCGTGTTGGAGTGTTTCCGAACTCACTGATTCATTTTACATTATTGGAAACATGATTATGTGGATGGATAAGGTGGGGAGACGGCAGACGATAGGATGGGTTAGAGTAGGTATTGGTTAGAGAGTGCTCGAACTGCTCTGAGTTCCCGTCGCGCCACGCAGCCATCTTGCCTGCTCATTCCGAGGGGGTCTTTGCCTGCAAAAAGTAAACATCTTCTAAAAGAACCTGATCTTTTCATCATACCTTTTAAGTTTAGCACTTCTCTAGGGAGTAAAATTGTAAGAATTTCATGCTGAAGCATGCTCTAGTATTTACATTTAAGCAGCTATCACACATAAGTACATTCCGACTGTACAATCAATGGCATTTAAGGGTTAGATATACAGTCAGCCCTGCCGACTGCGCATTCTCTGCGCATACGCACGCTGTCTATACTCAGTACGGTCGGGGAATGTACGTGTGATAGGTGCTATACTAACACTCAGCTTGTTTCTTTTTTTTGTTGCCAATCCTGCAGCCTGATGCCCAAGTTAGCTAAACTACCATAGTGATTTATATTTGATCTGTCTGTCTTTGGCTTGGTTTTAAAAATGCAATATTGCCAGATTTCTTGTCATTATTTATTCTTTTTGCACAGAATGAAATATTGGAAGAATATGTTTGAAAATTGTGCAATGGCATTCCTGTGAGTAATATCATGTCAGGGAAAATTTGGTTACAATGTATGGCACCTCTGACATTCTCTCTGGAATAAGATGATATTACTAGTGAACCAACAAGCAATCGTGCATGTTGTGTTTAAAAATCGCCTCTCATACATCATTTTTTTGCAAGTGAGCTATTCATCTGAAAATTCGACAAGTTATTCTTATCATTGGTGTGTGTAATCACACATATTTGGTTTTTCTTCACTGAAATGAAGTTATATGAATACCTATTGTATGATCTAGGACCAATCTACACAGGTCAGTCATTGCGCATCTTTTTCAATTCCACTCCCCTGCCCGGCCGTAACTCGGCCGCATCCAATAGTACTTCACATTAGCTGCTCCCAAATGAAATACATTGCAGGCAGCCAATTCCACGTCACTGCGCAGTAGAGTTCCAAAACTCGTCTTCGGGAATGACTGACCTGTGTAGCTTGGTATGAATTGAATGAATGATTGTATGATTGTATGATGAATTGTATGAATATTGAAATGAAATACTCAATGTATAAGGCATTTTCTAATATTATTTACTGGAAACTTATCCTCAAAACGGGACCACTTGCAAAGTAATAAAAAATTAAGTCAGAATTGGCATTTTGTCCCAATGACCAAGGACAGCATGCTGCATGAAAGGCCAAGAGCCAACACCTCTAGAGTAAAGCGCATGTCCAAAAGATAGAAACCGATTGACATTAGGGATGGACGAATATCGAATTCAAATGAGAATATGCGAATTTTCGAAACTTTTCGAATGCCATTATTGCGAATATTTGAGAATTCGAATCTTGCGATTGCGAATAGTTCGGATGCGAATATTCGAATATTTTCGATTATTGCTTCGATTTTTTATTTTTTATGAACCGTGAGAGATAAAACGACACTTTTGAATGCGATTATGTGATTATTCGAATTTGCGATTTCGAATATTTCAGAAGCAAAGAATGTGATGCGATTATCTCGGTGCCGATGATTCAAATATCGAATATTCGACCATCCCTAATTGACATTGAAAGGACTTCTGTTGAAATAATTTTTGACTGTCCCTAAGAAATAGCATCTTACTTTCCTATAAGGTCAAAATTGAGCTATTGATACTATAAATATACGTAGAATATAGTAGAGTCTACAAAATTTTGGGAGAGTGCAGGCTCAAAAGTGTTGAACCACAACAGTTATGACAGTTTAAAATTTTCAGGTCAAAAGATGGAGTTAGGAGAAAGATCTATCAAAAATTATCAAAAAACCCAAATTGGTACCTTTGTCAAATTTTTTTTCTTTTTATCTGTAGCTAAATCTTGCACTCGTACAGGAAACGCAGAAATGAAATAAAATACCTACAATGAATGACCTCAGAATAATCAGGAGCAAACTCTTGCTTCATTTTTCACTATAATCGTCTCGCAGACTCATGAATTCGTCACCTTCCAGGCAAAGTATCACAAGCGCCATGCGACGTTTAAAAATTTCCGCCGCCATTTTATTTTTTACTGAGAAATTGTTGGTTGAATCCGTTCGAAAATTTCACTAAATTTTATCGGCAGCACAAAGAAAATTCGGTGTAATTTTCGGACAGCTTCGTTGAACAATTTCTCTGTAAAAAAATATAATGGCGGCGGAAATTTACAAACGTCGCATGGCGCTTGTGATACTTTGCCTGGAAGGTGACGAATTAGTTCTTAAAATTTTGTAATTTCAATTTTCCCAAGTGGTGTAAGGTAGGTGAACTTCCTCCACGAAAGGCAGGTACAAATGGCTCAAGAAAGTTGCTTACACCGGTGAACGGCATTGGAACACTTTATTGAGCTCATAGGCTGAATCTTTATAAGAAAGAAAAGTCCATCTAAGCCCATTTTTGAATTTCAAATTGTTTCTCAATATATAACAATGGAATGGAAAGGAATAAATGGAATCAGTTGAATTTTGTTGGAGGAGAGCAGCCTCAAAATAAACTTTCAGGTCAGAGAAAAATTATGTAATCCTTGCAATTCAGGGCTTCATCATGAGAATGTGCATGCCATAAGCAATAAAATTAAGTGATTGAGCTTTTTTTCTTATCTATTAATTCTTGTTTTGTTGCTTTCCTATACCTACTCCATCTCTTACCTTTTCTTCTTTTCAGTGTCATGCTGCCTGTTTCATATTGTTATCTCTTTTTTATTTCATGCTTTATTAGTGTCTAATGTTCCTACTCTCCTTTTCTTTACAGTGCTACACACTTCTGCTAGTCTGGCTATAAATGAGAATTGGGATCCAGACGTTAGGTTGGTATTACTCTCTTGTATATTCTTATTCTCTTGGAGAGAATGCTTAGTTATACTCACAGGGTGATCCAAAAATCCTGCACTACCAGCACCAGGTATCACCCCTGTAACTGTTTGAAAGTTCCAGATAGAGACTTGAAATTTTGTGAGTTTTCAAGCTAAAAAAGAATCGATTTTTGGGACCCTCTAAAAGAAGGCAAAAGCCCTGGGGATTATGAGAAGGGTGAAGGGCTTTTGGCTCACCCTTCACGTAGATATCACCTATTCCTCTTGAACTATCTGAGTTCAAAATGTAAAGTTATCTACAGCTATTCATCCAGCACAAAATTTTATTTCTTACTCTCCCACTTTGCCGTAACACTCATACTTTACCCAGAAATGGCCAGCAAGGACTTAGAAATATTTAGGATCACTGTAATATTTTACCAGCTGCTGCAGGCTTGCTGAAACACTTACCGCCACAAGAGGTTTCAGAGCCCGAGACGGTTGTTATGATTCGTCACGCGATTCACATCGTGAGCCATCTCTTCTTGGCTGAGAGCAAATAGGATTAAAACAAAAACGTAGAAAAAGTCAGAACTGAAAAGAGTGTAATAAAAGCTTTTAATGTGCAATTTAAAAGATAACCCCCCCCCCCCCCCCGGAAGTGGTCCTGTTATTGAATCAATAAAAATAGAAAAAGAACCAACATAGGGTAGGTACATTCTAACCAAGCCTGTGTGCATTAGAAAGTAGTTGAAATCAACCATAGAAAAAATTGTAGGTGTGTAACTCACTTGCACAAAACAATTTTAATTTTGTGCAAGTCAGTTACATACAATGTGGTAGTTGCATGAAATTTTTTTAATTCAATTTCTAAAAGTTTGAGGTCTACTAAGTATTGAGGTATTTTTTAAATAATTTTCCGGCCACCAGAACTTTGAGAAGAAGCTCTGCAAAGTCAAAAGCCATTTGAAACGGGTCTGTTCTCGCGCTTCGAAACTGGGACTTCGTGACGTCACATGGTATACACCAAGGTTCGCCCTATGTCAAATACGTGTAAATACGGTCTTTTCAAAATTTCGCGAAAAATCGATTTTTTTTTTTTTTTTTTTTTTTTTTTTTTTTTTTTTTTTTTGTCTAGACTTGATTTCTTTGCGTCAATGAAAATTTTAGGATTTGATTAATAATTTCATAACAATTTTGAAAGCTCTCCATCATGATTTCTTAGTGAAAAAGGGAGTTGAAATACAGCTTTTCGCGTATCTAGCCGGGAGCCGTGCGGTCCGTCGGATTCGGGTGCGCCCGGACTGCTTCGGCAGTGTTCGTGCGTTGCAGCCAATCAGAGCTCGAGCTGGGCTCTCTAGGCGCTGGTGACTAAAATCCCAACAACTCCACAACATAGACTTGTTCTTATCACTTTTCTGATCTCAATTAGCGCTGTGTTTGAGTTTATGATCAAGATACGGTTCTGAACACCTTTTGGCATGATTTCCGACAGTATTTTCCGAGGAAGAAATATAATTTAGACACTTTAAATAGCACAACAGATCATACTTCGGCTCGGTAAACACACGGTCTAGATAGGGATGATGGCGGTGGGCGGGGCCTTTTATACCAACTGACGTCACAGCCAATGAAAATCGTTTATTTCTTACTGCGATTTTGCGACTTTTTATCGAGCTTTTACAAAGCTTTCGACTCAATTTCGGAACTTGCAAATGCAAAAAACGGGTTTTCCGCGAAAAGTTATGCTAGAAACAGTCATCAAATCTAAAATCCTAGCTGCATGCAACTACCCCATTTTCTCCTTACTTGACTTAACCATTGCTGTCACAGTTTTGTAATCTCCTTATATCTCAACTATACAAGGGTGATTTGACATAACAGGAATAGCTAGAATGTGCAACCTTTAAAATAAAAGTGCACCAATTTTAAACAAATTTCATGACTTTATTTTAAGGGTACGAGGTCTGTCCGGAAAGTATCCGACCTTGTTGATTATCTCGCCCAAAGACATAAAGACGGAGTGCTCGTATCTAAAAGCACGGGGAAAAAGTGAAGCCTGGTTTGGCGCTGGGTGCTTGTGTGAGTGTGTAAATGAGCGCGGGAATCCATGGCGGCAAACGGAAATTTGATTTGAACTTGTCCTCTTAATTTTTCCATATTTCTTCTTCGAAACGTATTTTAAATGCCTAAAACGAATATATTAAGAAAGTTGGGACTGCGTCCTATTGTATTACACCTACTCTTGCTTGTTAATAGGCAGTCATCTCAGATAAAGGTAGTTTTTCTTCTGCTCATGGTGGTTCTGCAGGTTCAAACAGGTCGTTACAGTTCTAGATGACCGTTACTCCCAAATGAAATTAATCGGTCGACGACGGACCAAAGCTAACCTAAAGTTAAAGAAATATGAGTGGGTAAGTGAATTTGGGCAAAAATCAACCTAGAATACTTTGTTTCCGCAATTATTTTATTCAGTTCCCGCCCTACATTTGAATTCAAACTTGTCCCGATTTCGCCGCCAATCCTCTAGCCAATAGTAGAGGTGGTTGAAAAGAAGCTTCATTTTTTGCTTTTAGCCCTCCGTCTTTATGTCTTTGATCTCGCCATCAACGGTTGATAAGAGGTTGGGGCTTGGAATTATCTCTGCAGGGACTCTCCTGAGTGCAGCTGCACAGCCGGATTATCACACATTGAACCAGTCAGGTAATTTGCTGATCAATGCGTGCTATTCTGCTGTGATCATCGGATTTCGTTTTTCCTAAAAGAAGAAGAGATTAAGGAGAGTGGGGTGGGAAGAGTTGGTGAAGATCATCAATAGACGAAAAATGACGTCACAAGCGTTCCTGAATTTGAAAATTGCGATAACTTTTTTGGTAGATGATATTTCGAAAAACGGATTACGGCACGTGAAAGAGCGTAAAAAATCAAGGGGTCAGGGTACTGCACAAAATTTTCCAGAAACGCGTTATTTCGACGCGAAAGAACTTTGGAAGATTTTTAAGATTTTCGAAGCTCCTTGCTGTGTAGGCAATTTTTACTGCAAGGATCGAAAAATTGCCTACAGAGCAAGGGGCTTCGAAAACCTCGAAGCTATTGAGACGGCTCTTGACCTTTCCCTCACACTTTTTCCAGGCTTGGGACTGGCCCGAGCATCATCTTACGAAAATCGCGGCTAGGCGGCGATATTTTTGGTATCAAATATCCACCGAAAAATCATACTTGGAGGCTTATCGAAAACATGGTTTCAAAGTGTGGTAGTTTCGTAGCATAAGTTTAAAAAGTCATGCTTAATAATTACTTGTGAATGCTCAGGGCGGTTTATAAGGGTTTTTTTGTTTTTTATTGCTTTATTTTGTTTTTTTGTTTGTTTTCTGCATAACAAATGGACGATATCATCAGTGAAATTGAATGAAACAGTTCACTGTTCAATCACAGGTTTTGTTCAAAATGGGAGCCGTTTACAGCAACGTATGCGTTGCATCTTTTCAAGAGTGACGTTGTCGTTGCTTTTCTGCACATACTCAATGTTAATTGTTGACACGAGGCAACAATCCGATTCTGTAGCGTTTCTACGTCGGGAATGGGCTCTCAATGAACGAGTTGTTTCAAATTTCCCCACACAAAAGAATCTAATGGAGTAAGGTCAGGAGACCTGGGTGGCCAAAGAGCGAGGTGCAAATCGTTAGCAACGTTTGCGCGGCCTATCCACCTCCCAGGGTAATTGGTGTTTAACCAATGCCGCACGTTCAAACTCCAGTGTGCTGAGCACCGATCTAACTGATAAATCATACGAGTTCGCCTGTGCAAATCAAGATCTTACAAATACACGAGTAGTTCATTGCTCAAGAAATCGAGACAGTTTGGTCCGTCTAAGCGATTCGGTAGAAAATGAGGCCCGAACAGCTTATTGTCCAATATTCCAAGCCATACATTCAAGCGAAAATCGTGTCGGAAGTGGTGTTCGCGGACAGAATGAGGATTTTCGTGGGCCCTAATGTGATGATTCCTTTGGTTGAATATTCCTTCCATGGTAAATGTCGCCTCGTCTGTCCAAAATACTCTTCGTGGAAACAAGGGATGCTCTGCAGATTTTGTTAGGAACCAATTGCAGAACTCAACCCGCCGTGGAAGATCGCCCGGCAGCAAGTTCTGGACGCGCTGTAAATGATAAGGGTGACGCCCATCAGCTCTTAGGGTTTCATGCACAGTTGACTTTAGAATTTCTAAAATCGCTGCAGCTCGACGAGTACTTGTCCGAGGATCGTTATCGAAATGCTCCAGAATTGTTGCAGTGCGATTTACATCGTAGAGGGGAGCGAAAACCCCGTCTCCTTGAGTAGGTAAAAATAGAGATCCCGTCTCTCGTAGCCGACTAAAAGTCCTTCGAAAAGTTTGGGGAGAAGGAGTAGTACGGTTCGGAAAGCGCACAGAATATTCGGCAGCACTTTGTACAGCATTTCCATTGCAGTAGCCGTATACGTACACCATATCGGCGTATTCCGCGCTAGAGTACTGAAACGGTATCTTTAAGAAAAACCGCGAAAAAACCGCAAAAAATATTGGAGTTAGGTGTTGGATACTTGCACTTGAAATTGTCGGATTATGTACAAGAGTCAAGAGGTGAAGTTCAGTGACTCTCATTTTAGGTAGGTCCAGTATCTCATGCAATCTGTAGTGCGTGCTATTCTCCATGATAAGAAATAATTTGACAAAGACGAAATTCGATGAAGATATTCGAATAGTGAAACAATGATAAGACATTGATTGCAACTGCAAGATGCGATGTGCTGCGAAATCGGTATATCAAAATGTGAGGAGGAAAAAACCACCAGAATTCAATTTTTAATCTGATCGAGAGCTCATAGCGCTGCCACTTGCTATGGGAGATTGTGAGAGACCATAATGCACATTTGTGGAGTGCAAATGAAGAATTTCTACCCTCTGAAAAAATTATTTAAAAAAATCGGCTGATGCGACCTCTGAAAGTTGATCGAACGGCCTGAAATTGTGTACGA